GCTAGGAGAGAGAGAGAGAGAGAGATGGAGGGGAAAGATGTCAGCTTCAAAGGCTGCCTCACAGGTTAGCGATCTCTCATCAGAGCTGCTGTGTGTGTGTGTGTGTGTGTGTGTGTGTGTGTGTGTGAGTCAAGAGAAAGAGTGCGGTGTGGATGAGGCAGGAGTTGAAAGAGTTCACTTAGATGAGGAGAGACCCACAGGAAAGAAAAATCACAAATGAGATTTCTTGAATATTTCAATGATTTTTTCCTAGACAGCCCTGAGATTGGATAGAGGACAAATGGAGAACCCGTGAAATGAAATGGGTCGTTTATATGATAGTGTAGGCCTACTCTTAAACGTGGATGGAATTAGGCCTAGCATTTAGCATTTTAAATCTACCGAGTCGATGACTCATCCTGCACTCACAGGATTATGCAAATTTTCGCTCAGATGGTCTCTACAATGAGAATGTCCCACCCCCTAAGTCACCTGCAACCAATTAGCAACAGCAAAACATGGATTAAGGCTGTAATGTAAACAAAAAGACTGTTGGCTGTTTAAAAATAGGGATGATCGGTTTATGATCCCTGCACCAACTTCCTGTTTCAAAAGGAAGTACATCAACACAAGAAAAACGGCCCTTTTCAAGCCATTTCTTGATGTCTTCATGTCATCTGACCCCTACACTCTTAAAAATAAAGGTGCTTCACGATGCCATAGAAGAACCTTTTTGTCTAAATGGTTCCATAAAGAACCTTTAACATCTGAAGAACCTTTCTGTTTCACAAAAGGTTCTTTGTGGTGAAAGAAGGTTCTTCAGATTATAAAAAGGTAAGAAAGAGATGGTTCTTTAAAGTACCTATGACTGAATGGTTCTTTGTTGAACCAAAAATGGTTCTTCTATGGCATCGCTCGAAGAACCCTTTGAAGCACCTTTATTTTTAAGAGTGTATCTGTAATGTAGCCTATAATGTCATCTTGTAGTGTACTTCAAATCTTAAAAGTATACTTAGAGATAAACCAGATACTATAATATTTTTGAAATAAAAGGCCTCTTAAGTCTGTCAAAAGCACTCTTAGTTTCAACTAATTGTAATCAAATAATGTAAATATTTTACTTGCAATTTACATTGAAGTATATGTTTTTAAGTGCATTTTTTCTCAAATAAATACTCCTTTTAAAAGTATTTATTTATTTATTTTTAACGAGGGAAGATACCAAAATTAGAGATTTTAATATGAAGTCTTCATAATTTCCCACAAAATCCCCCCAAAAATAGCTATGTTATCCACATAATATAGTAATAATATTAGTAATATTTATGAAATAAAAGGCCTCTGAAGTGTCAAAAGCACTCTTAATTTCAACTAATTGCATTTAAATAATGTAAACTATATTTTATTTTAATTGTAACTTACATTTAAGTATCTTCTTTTAAAGTACACATTTTCTGTAATAAATACTCTTTTTAAAAGTATTTGTTTATTTTTAACAATACCAAAATTTGAGATTTTAATATGAAGTCTTCATAATTTCCCACAAAATCCACATGAAAGACCAAATTATCTGAGCTATGTTATCCACATAATACAATAATAATAATAGTAATATTTATGAAATAAAAGGCCTCTTAAGTGTGTCAAAAGCATTTCAACTTAATTGCATTTAAATAATTTAGATTATTTTATATTTTAAGTGTAACTTTTAAGTATATTCTTTTAAAGTACACTTTTTTCTGTAGTACTCTTTTTAATATTTATTTGTTTGTTTATTTTTTAACAAGGGAAGATACCAAAATTGTAATATGAAATCTTCATAATTTCCCACAAAATCCACATGAAAGACTAAATTATCTGAGCTATGTTATCCAAATAATAATAATAATAATAATAATGATATAGCCTAAAAGGCCTCTGAAGTGTCAAAAGCACTCTTAATTTCAACTAATTGCATTTAAATAATGTAAACTATATTTCATTTTAATTGTAACTTACATTTAAGTATATTCCTTTAAAGTACACATTTTCTGTAATAAATACTCTTTTTAAAAGTATTTATTTATTTATTTTTAACAAGGGAAGATACCAAAATGAGAGATTTTAATATGAAATCTTCATAATTTCCCACAAAATCTACACGAAAGACCAAATTATCTGAACTATGTTAGCCACATAATATTATAATTATTATATATTATTATTATTACTACATTTAATAAAGAATACATTTAATAATAAAAAATACCTCTAAATTCTCACTGTATGTCAACAAATGTCATTTTTACTCAACACAAACTGTTTTTACTAATAAAGTATTTTAGGAGAAACATCTGAGAGGTAAAAGATACATAAGTGAGATCTGCTGAGCTATTTTCCTCCGGGGAGAAACAGAGGCTGTAGGGGGAGGCTGGAGAGATTTTTATGATGCAGAGGCTCGTGCCAGTGACTATGACTATGAAAGTGTGTGTGTGTGTGTGTGTGTGTGTCCTCACTGACAAGATAAGAAGTGTGTGCGCGTGTGTGGGTCACAGATTGTGCCATGAATAAGAATAAGCCAAGCATACTAAAACCTTTCTGCCTGTAATTGCAAGTCCACCTCTTTATACTCTCTTTAGCGGCATCAAATCAGAATCCAGAATGCAGTCATCAGTATTGCTGCACAACAACCTTCATTTCTTATTCATCTCTGTTGGAAGTGCAACATTCACATTAAACAACCGGTCTATATTAAACGACTAGATTGCTGTGTTTCTGATCGTGCCCTGACAGTGCCTGACAGTGTTTCTCTCTTGAAGTTTACCGTCAGAGCCCAGCAGTGTAACCGATTGATTTGGGATTTCATTTCTCTCCAGACATGCGCCACTGTGCGACCTTGACGACGCAAGACCAGACTGATATTTTACATGCGGATTTTTATCTAGAATAACAAGTCATAAAATACTTTGAATGAATCTGCTACTTCGACTTTACATTTTTTGATGGTATCACGTTTTAAAAAGAAAATAATGCAAACATTTAAATAAAAAAAATATATATATTGCAAACATTCACAGTAAATATGGACAAATTGAATCCATCAGATATACAGCTTTAAATATTCTCTAGTGAAGTAAACAATTTATTTTTTTTATTTAATTTTTAATTTATTTGTATTATTATTATT